TGGGGGGCTCAGTCAGTTGAGCGTCCGACTTCAGCTCAGGTCATATTCTCACAGATCATGGGTTCAAGTCCCACATTGGGGTCTGTGCTAACAGCTCAGAGCCTGGAGCCTGCTTCGGATTCTGTCTCCCTTTCTCTGCCCATCCACCACTCATGCTCTGTCTCTCTCAAAAGTAAATAATAAACATTAAAAAAAAAAAAAAGACTACCTGTACATATATTTAAAAGAAATCATAAATATGAGATGCATTAAAAAAAGCAATCACTGTTCTGTCTCTATCCCATTTAGCTGAGATAGTCTAAGAACAAAGAACATTCAAATTCAGTATTATTAAAGAGGTATTAAATTTTAAGAGATCCTGAATTATTAGGAAAAAACCTTTACCTCAGTTTTAAGATAAAGGATAATTCTCATTTATACCACTTGTTTTGGGATAACATGCGTGAAAACTGATAAATCATACCAGAAAACATCAACTTAGAATTTCAAGGTAATTTATTATATTGTTTTGCCATGTAACATTCCATGTTGGTATAATGTTATAAGGAAACTGTCCAGACCAATAGTAATCTTCAATACATCCACAACCTCACTCCTCCACCCTCTTCCTCAGCTGGCTCCCCACTCCTGCCTACTCTGTTATCCCATGCCTCATGGTAACTCTGTCTGTTCAAAAAGATAAAAGCAATCTCATTGATCCTTTCACTGTATAGTATCATCAATAACCTAATGTGTTTGACTTTTATGCTATGTAACTCTAGTAGTTCGATGATGCAATTGCTACAAAAAACTGCTATATTCAAACTTAACTCCATGTGTCTGAAAATGTACTTTAGTGTAGCAGAATCTGATACCTAGTACAGCATACTCTGGTAGAGTACAATCTGAATGTCTAGGCTTAAATGTCAGCTCCATGACTTACTGTGTATGTGACTTCTGTTGGGAAGGGCAGGAAATAAAACAAAAGTATAAAGTTTTTTTTTTTTTTTAGTGGTCGTTATGAAATACTAGTTAATGGGAAAAAAATCTATCTTTTACGTTATTTCCAAGTATTAATTTAGTTATGTCTGAAAGTGATAATATTAGGCAAGGCAGCTAAAAACTACACAAATTTTAAAAATCCAATTATTCTAAAACCTCTATTTGGCTCTATGCATCCAGAAGATTTGTAAAAATTCCTATTTCCCTATTCTAATCTTACAAGT